TTTCGTAGGTGCTGCTGCGCGTGATCCACCAATCTGCCAGGAATGAAGCTGTATTGTTTTTCACTTCTACTTTGTCCAGACAGGATATAATGATTAAGTCCTTGAAGGAAGAGCTTTAAGGAAGAGCACCACCTCATTAAGTTTCTTGCCGGCTGGGAAATATCTGTTGCGCCAACACGCACTAATGTCTAAACTAAAAACCCTATTCATTGCTTTCATCTGTTACAATTCCAAACTTCAAAATGGTCAGTAAAAGTGAATGCATCGATTAAAATTACATGCCGTATATGTGTAATGTCTCATTTTCAGTTATGACTAACAGCGAGCTGCAGCTTATTTCAGTTACTTGGAACAAACTAAAACTAATCAGATCTTAGTTCAAGTACCGCTCGAGACTGTTACTAATTTTTATCTTCTATCACCTTAGATGTTTTAGATTTTTTTCTTATATTATCCAGATTAAACTCCTTTCGCCTTTGGATGCGAATCAGTTCCCTTTGAGAGGCATTTACACCAATACTGATAAAGCCATTAAGTGCTTTTGCGATAATAAATTATTTACCGATCTAAATTAGACTATATTTTGGTACCCAAATCTAAACATACATAACTAATTAACAATTAACCTGCTAATTTCAAAAAGATAATATTACAAATTTTTTTTAATATTTTTTTACAATTTTCGTTTTAAAAATAATTCTATTACATTCTTTTTGCCCGTCGTCTAATCTAAAAAAGTGAATCTTCAAATCTTACATGAAAAGTTGTTCATTCGTTCTTCAGTTCGAATGAAATTATTCACAAAATATTTTGTCCTAGAATTCTACTTAAAGGTTTTAGAGCGTCTATGTTTAAGTATTCGTAAGGCTGGCAGTATGACACATAGTCACTTCTTCATTACAGTCCACCCTACGACTGGTTGTGACTCTCCGTGAGATAGGTCCTTCAAGCGAAATGCTGTGAATTATCTTTTTTCTCTTTAGTGACATTTATCACTCTCGGACTATTTTTATTTCCTAAGCTTAAATTGAACATTACCTTGTTTAATGATTTAAAGGAAGTTCAAAGATCGTGACCCAAGATTTTCAATGCTACTCCGAAGAAGGGTTACCAACAGTTTTTTGAAAAGTAACGAAACATCTGTTATGGGCCTAGAAGGAATTTGAAGAATGTATACTAAAGAGCTTCACTATTAGCTGAAAATATATTTTTCCTTTAATCAATCTTGAAACCTTCGGATTCAATATGTACAATAATATTGTAATATATATGCATTTACAAATGCCTTTAAATAACTTTTTGAAAGTTAAGTGTTGTATATCTGGAAACATACCAAGAAAAGAATTAATTTTGTATGGATTACGTATATTTATTTCTGCAATCAATTAGTAAAAGCGTACAAATGTTTTGTAAAGCATAAAATTGTAAGACCGAAAGTACTGCTGAAAATAAAATGCCGTAAAAGAATGCTCTTAAAAAGGATGTTTTGTCAAGGTGATAAACATCGGTTTTAAAAACATTGTTATCTTCCCGTAGGCTATAGCTGAACATATTTCTGTCAATAAAGTAATTTTCATGAAAAATCTCGTACATTAAATGCATGTCTTCAAATTATTTTAAAAATTTATTTACCATCCAACGTGTCGTTATAATATAATGCAACCAACAAAACATAAGTTCACAAAGACTGGATATATTTTACTAAATCATAAGCACTATAATTTTGGAAGGATAGCATACTTCTATGCAGCTTTAGCCAGATGTGTAGTGTCCAAAGCAAGAATATAGTTTTAGATGATTCTGTTTACACCAACAATCTATTATCTTCTAGCAGATCAGTATCTTTTATCAAATAGGAGATCAAAATCTAAGTGTATTCTCAATAAAGCACAGTTAAGCTTGAATTTAAGTCATTCAGTTCGCGTATAATCCCTTTAAAATACAGCTCCAAGTTTGGAGACTTTACAGCTATTATAAATTCAGCATTCTAAACCTTGAGAGACAACTCGGCATTGAATATCCTGCCTTAGCCTGTTGTTCACTAATGCGCACAATCCCCAAGCAGAATTCCATTGGTTACATTCTGGGTAAATTATGACTAGCTCAGGGAGAATATTTGCATCTCATATTTAGCACCTAATATTTAAACATGTTAAAAGGTGTTGAAACATTCAAATTAAATTATATTTGCTTTAAATTTTGTAGAATAGCGTAATCATAATTTATGGATTGAGTTTAACTACTTAGGATTATCTTTCTCCCTTCTCACAAAAGAAAATCTTCTTACTTTTTATGAACGGTAGATAAGTCAAACCGTTGAATGTAGTGTAAGTTATTTTATTATTATTTCCTTTATCAATAAGCAGTTCTTGATTGGAACGGATAATAGATGTCTATTCTGTCCAAACATCGGAATAAATGCCTTTCATATAAATCCGGCACTGTTACAAAAGGTAAATAAATTACTTTCTGATTAGAATTAGAGATTTACTCAAGTCTGGGTTATTCCAGGTAGCAAATAATTCACTTTCGTAGTCGTTAATTATCTTTCATGCCCCATTTTTTATTCCTCTAGTTTATAGTTTTGCGAAATGAAATTTACGATGTAAAATTCAATAAAATGAGACCTTGCATAGTTAGAAACCATAAAAACGATAATCCAGAAAATTGTTTTTCTATTCACTTCCTAATATGAGTAATCATGATGTTTAATTTCGAGCGTCTGTGATGGCACATTGTCCAATGTTCTAACACCTCAGAATATTTTCGAATGAATGAAAGAAGCTATATCCCTATTACTTAGAAGAAATTTCTTAAATGTCTTCTAATGTAAGTGTCTACTTATTGAAACTTTACCTCATATAATTCTCGTTTTCTTCATAGTAGTGAAGTTCAAACAATAAAAACTAAATCAACAGAGTAGAAAAAGTTTGAGTTCATACAATTCTACTGTAAACAGTTAAAAATTGTATAAGTACTACTAGGCTTTCTCTTAGCCCTTTTAAATCTGTCATTACGACTTTATTGCATTTATTCCACTATATTTTATAGTAAGTATTCGGAGTATATTTGTGACATAATGTTAGCTTAGTACGCATACGTATTTAAGTACCCTGCTTGACACGTTATTACAGTATGAGTACTTTTATGTAAAGTTATATAGATAGCAGATTTTCAAGCTTACGGGCTGCTGTGAACTGCAAATAAACTTCATATAGCCTAAAGTTTAGAAATCGGAATAACACTAAAACGAACCAACTGAACAACGATTGGTAAAAACGCTTTAGTGAATAAAGTGGAGGTTCTTGAAATCTTAAAAAAAAAGTCTGCTGTATATAAGTATATGTATGTTACTATCTCTCTGTCTTTTTAAACCTACAATAATGCCCCCATAAGCGAATCATATGCTCAAAGATAACCCGAGGTTACATGAAACCGCAGATAATACCGATCCTAATATAATGCGACTTTCAAGCAGGGTATACAATAGCGATAAATTTTAAAAAGTACACAGACTACAAAAGTTATTACTAGTGCTAAACAAAGGATATTTTACGCTAAATTGTGTACTTACAGTATATTTTCTCTCGTATACGTAGGAAAGTAAAGTATCCTAACGTTTTAGCTGACAGGCTAAAACATTAGAACAGTTACAGGAATCAAAAATTTTGTTCCCAAATGGTATCATTTAGAATTTCTACAGCTATCAGAATGATGAAGAACTGTGTTTTTCCTGAAATGCAATAAGAAAGCTGTGAAAAGTTAGTGTAAATCGCCCTTGCTTGCTAATATTCGTTGTCAGGATTGCTGTGTGAAGCAAGTAATACGCGTAAAGCAGCTATATTTCATTACATTAGAGTTCAATCTTGCTAAAATTTATTGCTCCTCTGCTTCTGAAAATTAGAGAAACCAATATTTCACATTATGCGAAATATGAACCGAACAAGAATGAAATGTAACATTTTCCCGTTTAGGGAAGGGGTCTCAGTAAAAAACGGATTCTGAATCAAGGAATGCAGGACACGGCAATACTTATATAAAAATTGTGTCTAGAAAGGGGTCCTGAATTCGTACGAAATTCTTAACTCGTGAAAAACGGACGAGCAGATGTGATTCTGGATGCTGGCAGTACATACCAGTTTCGAATTCTGATGAATATGCCGAGTGTATCTATAATTGTATAGTTTTCCCCGTGTGTAATGCGAATATGAACTAACAGTCTTTAGAAAGTTCTCTACAAAGACATCACTTCCCTTAGGCAGATAGCCCCAGTGTGCTAAATAATGCAAAATTGAAATTTAAAAGAAAACTTTGTATTACTACTTAGTCTTCTGTGTCCGTGCAATTCTTTTCTTGGCACTAATACTTGACGGTAGTTGCATTGTGTAAAGAAAACATTTTTGATTTTCGGTATTTTTGGCTTTGAAACCATAATAGTAGATATTGACTACATAAAATCAAGCAAAATATCGTATTGAAATTAATTTTTTTAAGTGTATGATATGCGAAAAAAAAAGGAAATATAGTGATCAATGTCTTCGAGATCAATTCTCAAATTCACTCAAATCAATTCAGAAATTTAAGTTATAAAATTTTCTAAACGTTTTCGATGCATGTATAGCAATAATTCAAGTTTCATATTACTTTACGGGCCCACCAGCGGCCGAGCGGTAAAGACGCTGAACACTGGTAGTTCGGTCTGAGGTTCGAATCCCGCGAACGGGCTGGCTGCATGGGCGTTTTCGTGGTTTTCCCCATGTGTAACGTGTATACGAGCCAGTTTCCCTTAGAAAGTCCTCCACGAAAGGCATCCCTCCCTTTAGGCAGATAGCCCTCGTGTGCTTTGCCATAATTAAATACATCAACATCAACATCATATTACTTTACGAATTATTCAAGAAATTGAATACTTGTATATATATGTTTGACTCCAATATATGTTTGTTAAAAAGCATTCAGAGAATAAAATTTATAAAATTGCACCATTTTTTATATTTTAGGTTGAGGTCTAAAGAAACTGGCTCTCCGACTCATCTGGAATGGACAACAGTCAACAGAAGACAGTTCAGAAGACTGGTAACGAAAAGGTATTTCTCCTTTCAGCGCAATAATCCTCATTTTTGATGCTGAAGAATGAAAAAATGACCAACTATAGGATATCAGTATATGACATAAATTTAATCCAATGCATAAATCTTATGCAAGTTTTTATATGATTGTCTATTTTTCCTTTCTTAGCAACAAAGGGAGTCATTGACGTCAATATTATTTCTTTACAGATATTGAGGCTGTGATTATTAACAAAGCTTCTACCATATTTTGACATTTGATTTCACTGAGAAGATGGATATCACTAATATATGTGATTCACACCTCTCTCGCATATGGGGGCTTAGTTTACTCTTCCCTATGATTATTCGGCAAGCCGAATGCCATAGCTCATGGTGTATTATTATCATTTATGAAAGCAGTGGAAAATTAAACTGCAATAAGTATGTAACGTGGGTTTGCTTTAGAATGAAACATAGTTAGGTGACAATTATGATTGTTTGCCTTATGTTGTAACGATTATCTGCATTTCTAATAATGGGCATAAATCTCTAGCGAGTTTAAATAATCCAGTGAGCTTCGCACATATTCATTAAAACAAGCAATTTATTTCAGTATTTATGATTTCTTTCAAACTTGTGATTGTAAAATTACTTTTAATTATTTTAATAAACAACTGTGCAGTCGTAAAGACTTTCAATTAAAAACTTGTAAAAAAATAAAGATTTAAAAACGTGTGGAAATAAGAGTATGCTTCTTTTCTTCAATTAGATTTTGCAAAAATTGTACAGCGAGGCTCTGACAGATTAAAAAAAATGTGACAGAATCACATTAAACAGTGTATACAGTGATTAACGATTGACGCTATAGAGCGAAAAAATAAAGCCTTAATTACTTTTTGGTTGCATGGTTCATTAAACAATCGTGGTTACAAGCATGTAATTAAAAAGAACATTTGGAACCTTTATTATGTTTGTATTTTGCGTGTTTCCTTCGGTTGTAAATTAGCGCATTGTTAGGAGCGATTAAAAAAATAATGCTTACATTAACTACTTGGAATTATAATTTATGAAATTACAATATGTGTGCAACTTAAAACAATAATTAACTGAAAACTTTCATACTTAAAACATGTTTATCGTAAGTTTGAATCTACTAAACTCACGAACATCCAAAATAAATATTTATAAGGGACATTCATCTGCATATGACCAATTTGCAGAGCGCTCTGAAAGCGGTTACTTCCCGTTTTCGGAAGTACTTAATTTTTGTCAAATTCTGGGGAACGATACATTTGTTTCACACATAAGTAGCTTGTAATCAAGGCAAAACTATGTAACTGCAAGAATAAGGAAAACAAAGCTTAATGATCTAAAGGCGTTACCAACACGACCGTTAAATTCTTAGAAGATCTGCAGTCTAAACTTTTGTCACCTTGTCTATCTAAGTACAAATTACTATTTTGAATATTTGTATGTCATTCCGAATCTAGATATGGTTTTTCTATATAGTATGTTTGATGTTGGCATAAAGAGTATAGTATACATAAAGGGTGCCATAAAAGGGTATACAGTATTAAACAGGACACAAATACGTGTGGTTTCTCCAGAATTTGCTTGATATATCCAGAACTTTAAAGTGTTGGAACAAAATGTAAAAAGGCTGTTTACATTTCATTCATTTAGGAAAAAGAATCACATAATTTATATCAATTTATCTAGAGTGATACAAGCCGAAATGCTAAATCTTGTTAGATGATTCGAAGTTTCTGCTTACAGAATTCTCTGTTTTAAATACATTAAGTACAGTATGATTTTCTTTTTAGTTTCCATTTAGGAAATAGGTTAATAGAATGTGAATAATAAATCTTTTTGTAGTATTTTGCCTTACTAAACTGATGGCTTGAAGAATTTTCCATACTGTGCAGTAATTTTTACTGACTTCCTCTCTTATACCTAATATTTAATTGATATTATTAAATACCGTTATAATGTCTATTCTTTTATGTAAATGATTTCTATTTATTTTTTTAGAATTTTAAGTTTTTTGTTTTAGAAACGTGAAAGTTAACACTTCAAAAATATATTATTTTTCGTTCTTTCGCACCTGCTTGAAATTGTATCAGCATTTTACTCATAAGACGTCATCTACCCACATTAAAATCATTGCTTTGGAGGAAACGTCGGAAAATATTTTAATTTATTTTTATTTAATTTAAAAAAGTAAGTTTTTAGGCTTTATGATGTCTACGATTATCAGAAGATATCAGTTTCGGGTAATTTTATTATCCGAAATTGATTTTTCAAAATAGTAGAAGAGGCTTTTGAAAAACGCTCCAAGACAGTTAAATATTGCAGTTATATACAAGTTTCTTATTTGTTCTTATTATTTCTTACTTTTTATTAGTCTCACTTATTATCTATTGTTAATTTTGGGGTTCTATACCTATATTAATATTATGTTATGACGATGTCTCACACGTTACTAACACACTCCAGACTTTTTTTTATGCCTCGTATTCTTACTGTTTTAGACCTATTCTTTCCCACTTTATCTTCTTTCACTTAAAACGTTGTTTTTTGTATCTAAGTTTAACAATTATAGTTAATCATTACTTAGTGCTTGCACTGCGACAGCCATGTGAATGCAAATCACAAACGGTAAAATGAATTGAACTTTAAAAGTGACCAACCTTGTTATCAGATTACCTTTGTTTGCATCTCATACGTAATCTTCGTATCCTTGTTCTATGATTTTGCCAAGAACTTCGAGAAAAATAAAAAAATTTCAACAGTGGTATTAATAAGAACAATTCAATTACAGACAAAGTTAAAAATATTGTTTCGAACCTTATTTTATAGCAGCAACTGCTTTATTTCAAAATGAGGTTTAAAGCAATAAACCATTTGTGCATCAATAAAGTAACAAAAAAAGAAAAACTGCCAGAAATCTGAACGGCAGTAGATATTTACAAGAGCTAAAAATAGAAGTGACAGGTTTAATCTTTGGAACTTAAAAGAAAGTAAATTTGGCAGCTGTATAGGCTGATGGATTAGCGCTAGTGAAAAGGATTTTTGTCAAGCTTTGTCTCCTATAAAAATTGCCCATGGGCATGTGGATGTCATCCTTTTCGCGTAAAACGTTTCTGATTAGGATTTGAATTTAGCAGTGTATGGAAATATAGCGCAATTAAATGTAACTCATTCTTTGAATGAAGGAATCGAGGCAGGGAATACGTTATGAAAAAGACCTTAGATAAATACTACGCACACACTACACCTATTACTATATTGTGTTTCAATATTTAAAATGCAAACTTGTCAATAAACTTGCCTTAATTTAAAAAGACAAATTTGGTATCCTAAAACTATTTTAGCTTGAAGAAAGTAATATAATTAATCAGTAAAGCCTTATTTGTAAAATTTAAAAATTAGCTAAACGGGAAAACGCATGTGTTTTTGTAAAAGGTAACATGCATCCAGTCTTATACTTTCTTGTACCTTGCTTTCAGCCTCTAAACTGCTAAGCCTTTCGAACTAAATATCTGAGATTTATTAATTATTATTAAAATATTGAATCATATTTATTTTAGTGTTGCTCATCATTTATTTTAGTGTTTCATCTTTCTAGCTTCTGGCAAACAATGTATTCGGGTAATTTTTACCTATTCGAGAAAAACTGAACGAAAGAAAAAAGAAAAAAAAAAAAAAAAAAAAAAAAAAAAAAAAAAAAAAAAAAAAAAAGACTCTTTGGCAATGGCAAGTTTAGGGATAAATTTATTAATTATTTGAAACATTATTACTTCACTATTATTCGCAGGAATGTAAGGAATTTTCGAAAGTTTGCAGGCATAGTGACGTTTCTCCATTGCTGCTCCGGCAATAAAATGGAATTGCGTCTAAAATGCCAGGGAGAGCAAAAGACTTGGACGGGGGGAGGAAACAGAAAGAATTATATTCAAGATATCGGATTTCTAATAAATCTCCTGATCTTACAAAATCTGCTTTAAAAATTATAAATCCAGCTTATATGAGCCAACGATCAAGTCTTACTTTCAAATGTATACAAAAGATTACTCAAAATGCAACGGAGTTTTAATAATATGATACGAATTATTTTATCGGAGGAAACTTTTATTGGACTGCAAGACTTTACTAGTCGTTAATGCTAGCGTTTTCACGAGAAAAAGTAGAAAAATAAAAAAAGTCAACTTTGGTTAAAAAAACAAAAAAAGCAGGACTCAGAGGACTTGAGAGTAAGAAGTTGTAAGGAGTTGTAGGGACATTAGGTAGTTTTGTAGCAGGACAGAGAAAAAATGAGCAAAGCCCTCGCCGGAACTCGAATCACGGACCTTTCGAATACCCTTTCGAATACGCGTTGAGCGTGCTGACCACTACACCACGAAGGCATGCTAAAACGGCCGGAAAAATGCCGTATTACTCCACTTTTTAAAGAGCGACTGGGGATTAGGGGACCCATTCGCCAAATTCTGGTTGTGGAGAATCATCATCCACCCCCTTTTTTTGTGCCACTGTAGAGACATTAGGTTATTTCGAAACAGGAGTCATGAAAAATGAGCAAGGCCCTCTCCCGGGATCGAACCACAGACACCTCGATGCACGCCGAGCGTGCTGACCACTACACCACGAAGGCATGCTAAGAAGGCGGGAGAAATACCTTATAGAGTTAATTACGAAAACTAAATGTAGTGAAATTTTCTGCTCAAAAACGGTATTTAAAGCGATTTTAACTAATTTTTTGGTTTATTATATATATATATATATATATATATATATATATATATATATATCAGAAACTTAATTCCTCAAAAAGTTTTGAAGCTATCTGAGTGAGATTTTACACCAATATTTTATATGTCCTGTATTGAATTTTGAATTAAAGGCCAAGCTATCTGTATTAATGTGATCATAATACAGATACTACCCAAAAAAATAATAATTACTTTAAAAAGATTTACATTTCTCTATATAATTTGACATCTTCCGGTAATTTTTTACCATAAAAATTTCAAACCATT